GTTAATTTTATATTTATTTGTTAATTTAAAATAACACATTAATGAAACAAATAAAATTAAGTATTTTGTAATTATTTTTTAATTTAATAGTTATTATTATTGTTATTATATATATATATATATATATATATATATTGCATTAGGTTTAAATTTATTTATTTTTTAAAACATAATAGTTTTCTTTTAATTGATTCAACAAATTGTGTGAATGTTATTTTTTTTTATCAATTTTATGTGTTTACTATAACTTTATTTGTTGAATATAAGATGTCTTTAAACAAACAAAATATGTTTCTAAAATAAAACTAAAATATTTACTATTTATATATTTTTTAAAAATAAATCAGGAAAAATATAAATATAAATTTTATTAATATAAAATATTTATAATTAATACTTAAATAATATTTTAAAAATTATTTATAATATTATATAAATATTATTATAATTTTTTAATAATTATTAATAACATAGATAGAAATTAAAAAAATATATATAAACTAATTTGATAATAAAATATTTATATTTTAATTAATATTAATTTTTTTTTTGTAATAAGCTTTGTTAATAGGCTTCAGGCCAGACTTTCCCTAAAATAAAGCCTTTAACAGGTAACAGGCTAGACTCAGGTCTAATAATTATGTTACAAGTCAGGCCTGTTTAGAGTAAAGTCTCGCTTGACCTGGCCTGTTTCCATTCATAACTGAAATTTGTTAAAAGATTTTAGTTTGTCCATTGATGATCCTTGGTGCATTACTGGAGATTTTAACTCCATCCTGTTTGAGAAAGAGAAAATAGGAGGTAGACCTGCGAATTTAGCACCTATTAATCAGTTTGCTAAGTGCTTGAGTACTTGTGGTCTTTAGGATTTGGAAAGAATTGACAGGGTAGTTATAAATGACCTTTGGCGTATGACGTTTCATAATAGCTCCCTTATTCACTTTCTCCTCCTGAAATATGATCATGCGCGCCTGTGGTTCAAAATTAGAACTGAGGATTATTTTAGACCCCACTATAGGAACTTTAAATTTTTGACCCCTTGAGTGTCCCATAAGGATTTTTTTAACAAGGTTAGTACAACTTGGCTGGATTCTAGAACCTGGTCTGAAAATATTTTTAACTTTCAGGAAATTATTTCTCATTGGAATGTTAATATTTTTTGAGATATTTTTAAAAGGAAAAGACGACTGCTAAATAGAATTAGGGATATTTTTTGTAAATTAGGTTCCAAAGAGAATCCTTTCCTTAACCAACTTATGAAAACTCTTTGGAGGGATTACCAAATATTCTGGACTAGGAGAAAATTTTCTGGTTTCATCAGTATAAATCTAGCTGGATTAATTTGGGAGATAGAAACAATAGGTTTTTTCATAAAGCTATAGATATTCACAGACAACATAAGATAATTGAGGTGTTTAAGGATGAGAGTAATCAATGGGAATTTGATTATTTTTTCCTCTAAAATGTTGTTCCGAGTTATTTCAAGAATTTATATTTTGATCCTTGTCCCTCTGGTAGTCCCCTTGTCGTTGTCTCTAATTTTCTCCCTCTTAGGGACTTTGATAGGCTTGTTTTGATTATGATCTTTCTTTAGAAGAAATTAAATCTTTTTTGTTTTGCATTACGAGTTTCAAGTCCCCAGGACCTGATGGATTTTATTCTCTGTTTTTCAAAAGTCAATGGGATCTGTTAGGTCCTCATATGCTAAAAGATATTTATTATTCTTTTTCTGAATTATAAATATTTGTCTAAGGTTTAAGAATCTCATTAGTTTGTTTTAACAAAAAATATATCAACTTGTTATTGTAGGATGAATAATTTAAATATGGAAACACATAAATATAATACGTAAAATATGATATTTTTTTTTGTGAAAATATGTGAATATGGTGTTCCAAAAAACTCCATTGGCGATTTTTTCATAAAACAGAAAAAAACATGCAAGTTGCAGACTTGAATGACTTAAGCTCTCAGGACACTTAAAAAGTCGCCACCAAAGACCTTTGGACGCTATTAATGGTGTCTGAATGACCTACAACACTTATACAACAACGTGAACGCCATTAATGGAGTCTGAAGGGTCTAAAAAATCGTCATTAGTGATCTTTGACCTTGAAAAGCCTATTCCACTAGCCACTGTAGGTAGTCACGCTTGCCAAGCATCTTTGAATTCCAAAAAAATGCCACTGGCGATATTTGACCTTGAGAGGTCTATTTCACTCACCATTGTAGTTGGTCACACTGGTCAGGCATCTTTAAGATATGAAAAATCACCAATGACAATTTTTGCATCAGGAATCTCTAAAAAATCACTATTTTACTCGTCACTGTAGTTATTCACGCTTGTTAGACATCTCTGAGATCTAAAAAATAACTCATGACAATTTTTGCATCAGGAATCTCTGAAAAATCACTGTTGTTTGCAAGCATGGGTAATAATGGAGTCAAAAATCGCCAATGGCGAGTTTTGGTGCTATAAATGTCAGCCAGGTTGAGCAAAAATCATGCGTGAGGAAGAGAGATAAAGTGAAACCGTGTGAGGAAGAAGGAGGGTTCTGAAGAAGGATCTTGGATAAGAAAGAAGAAGGATCTTGGATAAAGTTTTGATAGCATATATTTATTCATTTAATAATTTTATTAAAGGTACAACAAGGTTATGAAGCATACCCATGCAAACAACAAGTTATGTAAGTATGGAGCCTTGAATCTTCGTAAAAAATTTGCCGCAATATGTCTAATACAATACATGTGAAAAGCTCTTGGTGTTTCTTACTTTCCATTGCTTCTTCTTATTGCTGTATTAATTGACTCGTGCTGATCAGAAATTATGCCAATACCATCTTGGGCGATAACGTGTATGCGTAAATTATGAAGAAAAAAAGCAAGACATCCGCTGTCTCACCTTCAACAATAGCAAAAGTAATTGACAAAATATTTTAATTACCATCTTGTGCAACAGCCTCCAATAGAACTGTCTTGTATTTTCTATATAAATGTATCCCATCAACATGCACAAGTAGTTTGCAGTGTTTAAATGCTCTGATACAAGGACCAAAAGTCCAGAACACTCAACAAAATATTTTAACATTAGGAACTAACTCATCAGCATGATAGGTGTCTACAACATCCATCTGAACAACGGAACCTCGAACACAGCCATAGATTACTGCACACCATTATGGCAATGCTTCAAACGAGACTTTTCATTGACCATAAACTTTTTTAATTACCTTTTGCTTTCCCATCCATGCTTTTCAATATGTTGTCCTGTACTCATATTGAGACTGAATTTCACCAATAACGAGTTTTATCTTAAAGGAAGGGTCAGACTCAACCATTGGCTTTATACATTCTGCAATTGTGTCAGAATCCAATTTGGTATGATCATGATAAATTCTTCTTGTACATGTGTGCGAGCCATTGTACTTTCTAATCTCTCAAATAAATCGTTCTTTCTAAAAGTAGCATGAAGAAACCATCCATAATCAATTCCATACCTTATGCATTTACAATAAAACGTATTCAATTTTGACTTAACTACTTTGTAGTCCACTCCATTTGCTATACTGTAACACTTAATTGCTCATATAACAGTTTATCTATCAGCAAATTGCTTTCCAACATACAAGTCTCCATCTAACTCAAAATGACCTATCAAATGCAAACATAAGTATACTAAATTAAAAAATCTATATTTTTATTCATCTATAACACTGTTAAAAATAACACATATCTAAATTTGCATAATTTGAAAACTCAGAGGCATGCATAGCATTAATATTTAATAAACGCATGAAAGGTGGCTCCCCAAATGGATGTTGTCCAATCACTGTGTTTGACAAATGGACCTCATCATCTATATCTTTATCTTCACTCAGTTTACCGCTTCTATATTCTCTTTCAGATTCAGAGTTACTACTTTTATTGTTGGCATTTATCCATTCTACTTCTCTGTTTGGCATAGTGATTGCATATGCATCCTCATCTTCTTTATCAATGTTAATTGCAATTTCTTTAAAATCAACATATAACTCAATGGCAGGAGTTGGTGGATGATATTAGTGATGTATTTGAAACATCAGTACAATACTAGCATCATTTGTTATTGGAAGTGTATGATATTGCATGAAACTGCCAAATATGGATATTAGACACCTATAAACAACTCTCCACTGCTTTTAGAAACTCAAATTCAATATTTTAAATAAGTCAATAACATAGTTCGCCAAATGACTTATTATCTCTCGTGTACGCACATGTTGACTTTTCACATCTAAATAATACACCTTCATGAGTATTTGTAATATCTCACCATTAAAATATATCAACAGGAGCACACTTATTTTTTTTCTCTATAATAATCTCTTTCTATATATCTAAAAATACAAATCTACTCCCTTACAACTTTAATGAAGGAAGAACTCAATATTTATAGACAAATATTTTAAAAATCACCGATAGCAATTTTTAAAATTTTTAGATTAATTAATATTATTCAAAAGTCACGATTTTTTTTATTATCAAAAGTTGTCAATAACAATTTTTTTAAATTTTTTTTTCTACTTTCAAAAATTATCAATGGTAATTATATATACATTTTTTAATTATAGTATCAAAAGTTACCAATAACAATTTTTATCATAAATAAATTATTATTATTTTTAAATCTTAGTATTAGTGAGTTTTAGTTGTAATTTAATATATACGATGAAATGAAAAGATCGCTACTGACGACTTTTATGAAAACTCCGTATTCACATAATATTAACAAAAATTTCCATATTTTTTGTATTTTAAAAATAAAAAACCATATATATATAAAAAAAAGAAGCCTGTTATTGTAAGATACTTTAATTAAAAACAATTTCTAAGATGACAAGAGAGAGAGAGAGAGCGCACATTGTAAGGGAGAGAGGTTTTTGGGTTCACCTAATCATTTGCACTGTCCAAACAGCATCATCCTTATTGGCTTTATGAAACGGCAATTTTAGTTTCAAATCAACTCCTCGTGGCTCCCCAGTTTTAACCAAAACCTGTGGGTCGGTTCGGTTATCCTAAGACTCGCTTAAACCCAAAACCACAAAACCATGGGCAGTTTCTGTCTGCTCCCACAAAACCAGTTGCTTCAAAAACACAAACACACACACACACTCTCTCTCTCTCTTTCTCTTTTTCTCTTTAATAGTCACTCTTCTCTCTCCCCAACAACCCAATCCATCATCAACTTCTATGTAATGCCATCCCATCCTAAAATACTGTCATTTTTACTTTATGTTCTTCACTTTTGCTTACTGAAAGTGAATGGTGTCATGCCACACACACTTGGTTCTCTCCCAATCATTCGTTAACAGGACAACACCATTTTTGTACTGTTCAACTATTGGATTAACGGGTAAGTGTCTTTCCTTCGAAGTTTGTAGCTTTTTGGGTCAGATTGGAGAACAAAAAGGTTGTTAATTTGATTAGGTAGTTGGGGTTAGAATTGGTGTTGATGGAATCCAATGGACTAGGTAGTGGAATGTTCTCTGGATTACTAGGAGGAGTAGAAAACCCTTTACAACAACAACAGCAAAACCTTCCCAATCAGCAAAATCCTCACCATTTGCACCATTCCCAAATGGTTTCTTATGCCACCCACCATGACACTGATCCACACACACATCTTCAGCAATCAATGAAACATGGGTACCCTCCCTTTTCAGCGAAGAACAAGCAACAACAAAGCGCCCTCAGTGATGAAGATGATCCTGTTGATGATTCCTCTGGGGACCCCAAGAGGAAGGTCTCACCATGGCAGAGAATGAAGTGGACTGATACCATGGTTAGACTCTTGATAATGGCGGTTTATTACATTGGTGATGAGGGTGGTTCAGATGTGAGTGATCCCACTGGGAAGAAGAAGTCCACTGGTTTGATGCAGAAGAAAGGGAAGTGGAAATCAGTGTCAAGGGCTATGATGGAAAAGGGATTCTATGTGTCTCCTCAGCAATGCGAGGATAAGTTCAATGACTTGAACAAGAGGTACAAGAGAGTGAATGATATTCTTGGCAAAGGAACATCTTGTAGGGTGGTGGAGAATCAGAACTTGTTGGATACAATGGACTTGGCACCAAAGATGAAAGATGAAGTTAAGAAGTTGCTCAATTCCAAGCATTTGTTCTTCAGGGAAATGTGCGCTTATCATAATAGTTGTGGTCATGGGAATCCCACTGTTCCACAACAGCAAGTGGAGCCTGGGACCGAGGTGTCTCAGTCTCAACCACAACAGCAACAGCAGCAACAACAACAACAACAGCAACAACGTTGTTTTCATTCATCAGAGAATGTGGTGGCAAATTTAGGTGGTTCTGGGGTAGAGGGTTTGAGGATGTTGAAAGCGGGAATTGGGGAAGAGGATGATGATGATGATGAAGATGATGACTCCGAGGACTATTCTGATGATGATGAAGATGACTCAGGAGAAGGTGGTTCAAAGGGTCAAGTTGGGCATGGACATGAAGATGAGGATGAGAATGAGAATGATGGAAGGTCAATAAGGAAGAAGTCAAGGAAAGTAGGCGGGTTTTCTATGTCACCACAGTTGATGCAGCAACTGAGTAGTGAGGTGAGCGGTGTGTTCCAAGATACGGGTAAGAGCACTTGGGAGAAAAAGCAATGGATGTGGAGCAAGATAATGCAGTTGGAGGAGCAGAAAATAAGCTATCAAACACAAGCATTTGAGCTTGAAAAGCAGCGGTTGAAATGGGCAAGGTTTAGCAGCAAAAAGGAGAGGGAAATGGAGAGAGCCAAACTTGAAAATGAACGCAGAACGCTTGAAAATGAGAGAATGGTTTTGCTCATTCGCCAAAAGGAGCTTGAATTGTTGAGTCTTCAACACCACCAGCAACAACAGCAGCAACAACAGCAGCAACATTCTTCCACCTAAATTTTATGGTAGATGAAATTACAGTATAGCTAGATAGAATGTAGATTAGGCAAAACAGATGAAAGTGGTTGTCCTCTTTTTTGGGTTTATTAAGTTGTTTCTAATTGGGAAAAGAAATAGTAACATGCTTGTACCTACCATCTAGACAATAGATACCCTTTGTATTTTCAAATTATTATTATTATTATTATTATTGTTTTAAACCAAGCTTAACTAAATCTGTCTTTTTCTCCAAGTTGGTTTTTTAAAACTAAAGCCACTTGACCATTAAATATCAACTTCCGTTACATTTGTGGAATAAAAACAAACTATAAAACTGTAGTGATGTGTCATGACATTGCTTTATGCACATTGTTTGGCTAACTTTTATAAAATTAAGTAGAATTTTATTTTATGTTTATTTTCATTTTAAAAAAGTTTTCTCTTTCTAAAAACAAAAAATATACTTAATTTAGAAAGAGACAACTAGCTCTTAATTGTCCACAACTCAATACCCAACATTAGAGTAGGTCTGCAGAGTGTTGTAAAAGTGTCATAACAAATTGTAAAATTGCATTCAAAACTATAAGGTTTAGGTACACGCCCGGTGGGATTCGAACCCACAATCGCCTGATTAGAAGTCAGGCGCCTTATCCATTAGGCCACAGGCGCAAGATGACATGATTTGTTATATTTATTATTCAATTCAGAAAAATCATTCTACTCGGGAGCCTAGACCACTCCTTCTCGACATTTATTTTTTGATTGAGACTAGAAATTCTTATAAAGAAAAAAATTAATATAAAAATTATTTTTTATAAATTTAAAAAAATTTATTTTTTAAATTTTAGAATAATTAAATTATAGTTTTCAGATTTTTTGAAAAAATAAAACTTATTTTTAATTTATGAAAAAAATTATACTCTTTTTACATTAATTTTTTATAAAAAAAATTCTAAAAATTTATCCATACTAAATTTATAACGTGATTATATCAAATGATACGACCAAAATAATGTAAGTTTAGTGACACATTTGATCTTTAGACTCTTGCGAAAATGATTTAATTTTTGCCAATTATTTGAAATTGTAGTTGTTGCTATGTAAAATTTTTACGTAAAGCCTCCTTTTGTTTCATTTTTTTCACCATAACGTAAATCACGTGACACATTGCAAATTGCATCACATGACTTCGTATGAAATATGTTTGAAAGACAATTTTTAAAAGAGAAGAGGAATACATATTTTTTAATTTTAAATTTAGAGAATTATATATTATCTATAATAATAAATATATTAAATTTATATTAATATATTAATTTATATATTTTATTTTAAAAAAACAATTTTAAATATATTTATTTAAAATAAAAATTTTACCTACCTTTGTAACTCTCCTTTCCAAACAATCTCCTCTACCAAACTTCATTTGGCATCTGCTTCTTTGCTAAGGACTAATTTACGTGGTGGGACTTTGATCCATCAAAATTTCTTTTTCTCAACTCCCACAAAAAAGGTTACACAACGTAAGTTCATTATTGACCAAAAAAAATTTTATTTCTTTCAAAAGAAAAATAAAATATCCTCAGTTCTTATACATGGCGTAAATAGAGCACCACTCAAACCAAATGAACTACGGCTTTATTAACTTATTTCTGTTTAGTTTAAAAATGAGTATAATTAATTACATCACAATTAATTTCAAATTATTAAATATAATTAAAATACGTCCTCAATCATTTTAATTATAACTTGTACTTTTTTTTTATTGAAAAGTATAAATATTAATTTTATAAATTTAAAACAAGAAGCCCTTGAAAAGTAAATCATTTGGGTTCACACTGCATTCATCATTACACAAGTACATGTTCATGATCACAAAGAATGTCAATAAAATATTAGCATAATTAGTTTGACAGTTGTATCCAATAATCACATTTTCGAACTGTGTTCTCGTATGAATATTAAACTCAAAAATTTGGCATCAAGGGCAGCATTCCCTTGATTTTATGTTTTGATAGCCAGTAATAATTTGCATCAAAATTCGTTTTACTAAAACCAAGTGGAGATAACCTCAACCTGTGGCAGAATGACGTCTTAACTTTGAAAAACTGGGGAAGATTTAAAAAAAAAAAACTACAACTGTAGTTGGATGAATGAACTTTAATCTTCAAGCTCAATAATCTTAACCACGGATGCATCACCAAGCTTCTGGCAAACAACTACCCTGTCATGTGATTTTATAACTCCCAATGCTTTTCCATGATCAAGGGCAACCTTAAGTATAGACTCATTTGTTGCACTTGTTGACTCAGCCTGCAAGCATAGAGTGTGAAATCAACACCTGATAAGCCTAGGATCATTTGTTGCATGTAAGGTAGCATGCATAACATATTGGACATTTATACGGACCATCATAGAACAAAACAACAGTAACATTTGTCACGTTGAATGAAGATTATGTTCCAACAATGTAACCATAGGTGGTATCATAAGAGCTATCCATGTGACTAATCATACAACAATAACAACAAAACTTTATTCTACTAGGTGAGGTTGGTTTTTGAATTACATGACGCTATTAAGCTCAATAAAAACCTAAGTTCTCTGAGATATTATTTACTATGAGACTAATCATAATTAAAATAAATATATAATACATGGATCCAAACTAACCCTGCCTTCAGATCTAACCAGAGGGACTATAAGGAACTTCAGAGCCAGAATATGCGATGAAGCTGTCAGTTCACAACCCCTAGTCTAGCTCATCTTGATCTATTCAGCATCTAATTTATAACCCCAAAGAACAATCTCAAAAGAACAATGCCTATCAACTCAAGAAACAAGTATAGCTGAGTAGAATTACTAAAAGAAACTTACAGGATGTCGAGGATCAGCAAGCATAGGAAAGAGACCTCTCACAATAAGTGATTGTCTTGCCTGTGTCACAGATTGAATTTCTTCATAAGTTTGGTAAACAAGGTAAGTCAATGTATACACAATACATTCCGGTGAATAAAAATTTATGATAGAATCAAGGATGTCGATATCAAAGAAAGTACAACAATCAGTAGCATCTTCCAAAGATCAAAATAATTTCATGGTTGCATTTAGTTTACAAGATACAATAATTACAATATGCCGAGAATACCTGGCAGTAAAATTAAATTAAATTATATTATAATTACTAGGATAAAATATTTACTGTAGTAGTATATTAATTGCATTTGATGTAACGAGAATAAAGTTGGCAGTTGATATCAGAAATGGAAATATGAAGCAACAAAATAAATTGTTCTTCTTTAGAAATAAAAAGAAAAAAAAATTAGAAAGCAGAATTTAATTAGCATTTCTGAGCACCCAAGTCCTCATTCGTACACATTCAACCACTCTCAGGGGGAATCAGTGACAGCTACATATAATTAACAGAAAATGAGCGATTAAATCAAAAGTTAAAATTCAACCTCAAAAGCTCCACTAAAGCTCCACTTTAGCTGATTTGTCTTAAGTCGGGGAATCACCACAGAGAGAACTGGCATTGTCGGCCTATACTTTGCAATCAATCTGAGAAGTGCATACAATATCTTTAGAAAGAGTCTTATGGATATAAGTGAAGTGAAGATGCAGGACAGAAAAAAATGATATGGATACTAATTGAAGGATAGTGTTTGTATGCCAAGTTGAAACCAATTTGAGAGCAACCGGTCACTTTTCCAAGATACTAAATATGAAAACATTGATATATAATTACTCAGAGAAAGCACCTTGCAGCCCTTCCAGATGATGTGAAGCAAATTATAATAGAAGCCTTCACCTTAATCGCAGCTCGTACCTGACAAATAAAGATTAGCATGTAAGAAGCCTACTTTCAAAGATGAAATAGAATCAACCACCGAGCCAATAAATAAAAAGCAATAGGCATAAACTTGTCCCTCTTTCTAAAAGAAACAAAAGAAAGACATGTAAAAGAAAATACTATTAAAAAAACACAATGAAAAGGTAAATGTAACTACCGCAGAGGATGCAATAGATTCCAAGTGGCTCATGGGTTCTCCAACATACTTGACTGTCTTCTTAAAATAAAGGTCTTGATTGAAAACTTTCTCAGCCTACAAGGATATGAAATGGAAGGCAGAGATATCAGCCAACATTTTGAGAAACATTTCAAATTGAACATTACATATGATTCAAAGGAATTAACAACAAATGATTCACAGAACAAATGTCAGTGTGGGATAAACCACCGAAAGATAGAAAGAAGTACAAAATGAGAACAAGAACTAAGAACTCAATAGAAAATAATGATCTTATTTCTTGATTGAAAATAAATATAACATGGAGAAAGATCTCTCCTTCAAGGGCCTCCCCTTCAAGAGGATTTCCCCTTTCCACAACAGAGCTAATGTTCAGTTCTCAACTGGGACAAAAACAGAATGCCACTCCCTCCTACCTGTCCTCCTATTTGAGCTAAACCCATCCTTCCACCCTCTAATTAACAAACTAGTTTGCCTCAATTTGGTACGGTTGCAGCAAAACAGTGCTCTACCCCTAAATGTCCAGTCAACTACTGCATCTCAACGCATTTCAGGGAGAACCAAGTAGCTCTGAGTTTGAGGGACATTTTACCCCTAACCACAACTCACCCACTGATTCTTCAACATCAGTCGGTTTGGATCTCCACTTAGTTTCACCCAAACTTCATCCTAGTTATGGATCAAACTATTGATACTCTACTATAACTAACTTGTAACTAACTGTTAATATTTGGGAATCTTTAACAGAAGAAAAGAGAATAGCATTCTTTTCCTGTTTTATTTCAAGATTTGATGTGAAAGCATCATAAAATTCAAATAGAATCAGAAATGAATGCATCAATTCTTGTTGAAAAAGAATGCTTGATAGAAATTGTGTATTGTGTACAAAGCCCATCTTAATCATAAAGTCATACTATGTGCTCACTAAGTACAGGAGCTAATCAAGGACTGATTAAACCACTAACCACAGTCATATTGATAGTTGATTGATATTTTAACATGTGCTAAATATGTTGATGAATCAAGATGAGTATTCTATAAGTTCACATTAGGCAACTTACGCAAAGTCCTCATCAAGTCTCATTTTGCTTGTTTACAATGGAAAATGAATAAATTTATTTAACAAGAGAAAATAACCTATATGAATGCATGAAGTCTAGGAAATAGCAATTTTAAAAAATCTTCAAGAAAAAACCCTGCATGTATAATATTGGAAAAAGTGTGTATAAAAGCATTTAACTACGAGTAATGCTAGTAACACACTCTAATACACTCTTTGTAACACACCCGCTATTATTGGTTAAAATTTATTGAAAACTACAAAAATCATATAATTCTCATTCCTAAACTAATGCTTCTCTCTCATAATTTTTTAGTTTTAATAAATTTTATCCAATAGTAGGAGATGCGTTAGAGAGTGTGTTACTAGCATCCCTCTTTATCTTTAGATCCAGCACTTGAGCCTAGACCACATCATATTCAACTAGTCCATTGATATATTGGTAGCTCCACATCCAAATACTAACACCATGTTAGTTTAGCTTCATCTTGTAGGTTCATGTCTAGTCTAAGGACAAAATGGATCAATAATCATGAAATGGCAAGTTCACATATTAAACAACAGAAAGACATAAGGTAATCCCGTGATGGCACATATTAACTAGATAGCACATGTTAACTCAAGTTTCCCCAATCAAAAAGTTGTGGAATTACAAGTGTTAATGATAGCACACTGGACCAGAATAAAAAGAAAAGAAGGAACAAATTGAGTTATATCCCCTTTAATGTACTGGATACTGACTTTGGAGAAATATCAGTGACAGTTGGGCTAAAATATGCAAGATAGATGAATAAAAACATAAAAATAAAGATAGCTTTTGAGAGATTTCAAGAGTGCCTGGTTCTCTACTTTACTAATCCTCTCTCTTCTTTATATGCTCCTATATTCTAACCAAATCCATTCCTTCAATCAGCACTCTTCCCACCACCTAGGCAAATAGCTAGCTCAAGTCAACCTTGGATCCCCCACTTCTCCCAAACATTTTCCCAAAACATGCGTTTGACAGTTGCAGGAATCTATCACTATCAGAACAAATAAATATGAAATGAAATTACCTCTGAACAAATTCTGCCAACAGTAGAAATAGTCTCAACAGGGTACAACCCACGTAAAGTCTCAGCACCCAGGAGTATGGCATCACTTCCTGTATATTTATTAACAACTCAATACATCTATGCATCATTTGTTTTTAACAGAATCACAGTGGACTACACTGATAAAAGATAAAAGAAACAAAAAAATCATTCAGAACGGGGGATGGGGTCCTTATTAAATCACCTACAGAAGGTTCACTCAATTGATGACTAAACCAATATTAACAGACAGCTTCATGCACACTAGATTAGCACTAATGGAAAACAATAGCATCATTGCAGTTTGAAAGCCACCTAAATCCGAAAAAAAAAAAGAGAAATATTTCCAAAATGTCTATGATGAGTAAAGTTCATGTAACATGCAATGCAACCCAGTATCAACCAGACAGTTTGGTAGTCACCAATCTAAAAGGTGGTATCATATAAAGACTCACCATCCAAAACAGCATTGGCAACATCAGTGGCTTCAGCTCGAGTTGGTCGTAAGTTGTCAGTCATGCTATCCACAACACGTGTAAGCACAGCAGGTTTCCCAGCCATATTACACTTGTAAAGAGCAGATTTTTGAAACAAAAAAACCTACAAAAACAATTGGAAAAAAAATAATATTAATATGATAATATCAATGTAATAGTTAGCCTTAGAACTATTAAGCATTCACTTATAGCATAGTTGACATAAGGGGGCATAGCACAGGTAGCAGTTCATTAAATTGATTCAACCTAAAACACAGACATCTTGAATATTTTTGCAAATACAGAGAACCAGTTGGACCAAAATAATCTTATTTTGTCATAAGACTGCAAGATAAAAGGTAATACAAACCACAAAATGAATTTTATCAAGGAAACTGACCTTCTCTGGTGGAAGATCAATGCCCAAATTCCCACGGGAAAGGATAATACCATCAGCTTCTTGTAGAATCTCATCAAAATGGGTCAATCCCTAATAAACAAGACAGGTGTACATGTATAATTGAATCAGCAAGGCCAATAAGAATATAACTTACACAGAAATGCAGTCGTCACAGCAAATTAAGAAGTTATACAACTCACCTCGACATTTTCAATCTTTGCAAAAATCTGAGTCTGGCTGATATCACCTAACTTTGAAAGGAATTCACGAGCCTGCATTACAAACATATAAATGTCTGTTAATAGAAAACCTAAACATCAAGAGAAGATTAAATTCAAAGTACCAATTATGATTTGAGTCTGAGATGACAAATCAAACTAAAGGATTTGGAACTAAAAATACCTGCCGAACATCTTCAGCATGCCTAGTATATGACAATGACAGAAAATCAATTTTGTTTTTAACTCCCCACGTGCTTATAACCTGAAACAAATAAACAAACAAATAAGTAAAATAAACCCAAAAACTATGGAAACCTATGAAAGGTAAATCATTTAAACATGTTGATTAAAAGCAGAACTTGCCTCCTTGTCTTTCTCAGTGAGGGTAGGCAGATCAATATGAATTTGAGAGGCATGCAAAGTGAATAATGACCCAGCCAATGTAGCTGAATTCTTTATAATACAAACAACATCATTCCCTTTGACTTCAGATACCTGCATAACTTCAGGGGGAACTCATCATGCATGTAGAAATTTGGATATTCCTTTTAGGCCTAGGGCCCCACTTATGTCTAGAGAATATGAATTCCACAAATTTTAATTTCATTTTCAAAAATCATGGCGTAGATTCAAAACAAATGGCTGGTGCACATTAAGAGAAATACAAACTCAAAACCCAAATGAAAAGGACTATTATAAATCATTTGAGAAGATACTGAAGAATACTGAGATAATAAAATAAAAAGGGACTCATTGGAATAAATTTTGCACTCTGGATTCAATTAATATTACCTCTAGCCATACAGAAGTAGTTTCACTTCCTGTGAACAAGTATTGACCAACAAAAATAGTATCTCCCTTCTTGACTGCCTATAAACAATAAGAATAATGATAAATATTTAATATTCAAAGAAAATTATCAGAACAAGCCTATGTGTTATGAGAATTTTATAAATTATGCAAGTAACAAATTAAAATTCAAGAACAAGACATCTCAAGATAGTTTGTGTCATGAAGAGAAATTTTTCATGTAGGAATCAAGTGAAAATTATTAGAGTAGACCTAAACATGAGTTAAATTGCATACAAAAAGAAAATTTATAGCTAATCTAAGCCAAGCAACCTAGAGGGAAAAGTGCAATTGACTCCAATCATGCACTCTGTAGGCATTAGAAGTGTAAAAAAATAATTAAAAGAAACCTTCCAGGTTAATATTCCATGGAAACAATTCACATGCCCAAAAGTCATATCATATAAAGCTAAGGGAGCAAAATATCAATGAACCTGGGCCAGTCCATCAAAATTGATAGGCAATATCTCTGAAGAGGCTTCTTTTTCTTGTTCAGGAGTTAGAACAACCTGACCATTTTCCTGAAGTGAGATTGATTTCTCACTTTTGTTAACAACCTGCATCTCTGCACCCACCGTGTCCAGCATAACCTGTCAAAGGCAATTGAATAACAAACACTCAGATCCTTTCCCATTATTTCATTCATTTGCCTTCAACATAAAACCCACAAAACAATAATACATAAACTGGAGATTCCTCAAGCAGTTGCTAAAAGTGCTTCACTTCACCTTGACAAAAGACACAGTAAACATACAAAGACAATGAATTTCATTTCCCATTACTTCTAACCAAAGCAAACAACTTTCAAAAACCAAAAACAAAAACAGTTACATTAGCCTGGCTTTCTTTCAGCCACATTTTCCTCATGAAACAAACTGAACTCTCCACTCTCTACCACAAAGGTAACAAAAGATATTAACATAAGAAGCAACAAAGAAGGAAGGGTTTAACTCACAGCACAGAGTTTCTTAGTGCTCTTGATAGCAATCTTCAAATTCTCCAAAGTCTCTTGGTGGTACTCAGGGTCACACCACGAAAAGTCAAATCGAGCCACTACACAGAACAAAACATCAGGAAATCCACAACACATCACATAACCCTTTACCAATTCTTCAGTAAAAATCTACAACTTTACAATCTAAGAATTGTTTTTGAAAAACAAAAGCGAAAAAGTATGACATACCAGACATGCCAGCCTTTAGACAACCAGAAATAGTTTCAACGGATCTAGATTTAGGACCCAGCGTACCAACAATCTTTGTCATTGCAGGAAAAAAGCTCTGCAAATAAATCAAAAAAATAAATAATAATAATAATAATAATAATAATAATAATATGGATCCATAAATTGAAAAGGAAAAGGAAGGAGAAACTAACAGGCTTGGATGGCTCAAGGATTGAGGCCATCCTAATGGGTTCCTCGAGAAGCAAGTGACTGGAAGGCATGTTTGGCGACGGAGGGATATGGCTTCTTCAAAATCCAAACCAGAAAGAGAAAAAAGAGTTGGAAGATGGAATGAACAGTGGTGGGGTGGTGGTGGCTGCGTCAAAAGACCAAACGCAAACGCTCTTCTAGAAATACTTTTGAAGAAGAATATGCTGCTTTTTTCGCTTTGATCTCTCTTTTATATTCCTCTCATTGGCTTGTTTGATTTTCAACGTTCGCGTGTTGTTGCCTTTGTCTCACGTTGCAAGTGTTGGGGTTTTCTTTCCATTTTTATTTTACAGCGTCTGGTCTGGTGGTGAAAATTGAAAAAGTAAAAAAGAGAAAAACACGTGGCAACATGCCAGCTGTTGGATGTGTGAATGTTGCTTTTCTTGTCTCTGAAAAGTAGTACGAGGACTTCGGTCTGTGGTTGTTTTTGCTGTGTGAAATTTTTGTTTCGTGGAGAATGGGATTCAAGAGCCAAACGCAGTTATATTAAGTGAAAGCAATGGTAAGGCACGTGCTTTTGGGTTCAGAATTCGGAAGGCACGTGACACGGTGGGGGAGGAGTGGGGTAGGTTACTCCAAGCGAAGGCGGCGTGGAACGCGTGCGTGGTGCTGTTGTTACGCAGCGTGCCAGGTGAAGTGGCTGTTTCTATTGGTTTTCTTTTATATTTAAATTTTAAAATAGTTTATAATTAAAGGAATGTTAACACATCAAATTTTTTTGTCTACCATATAATATTTATAAAATCAATTAATCATATATATATGATCAATCATTAAATTAAAAAAATTTAAATAAATAATTAAATGTATTATATAATTATTTTTAAAGTTAATAAATTTAAATAAGAGTGAATATTATAATTATTGATGATAAAAAATTTATACTAAATGAAGTTAACATAGATTAATATTAAATTAAAAATACATAATGCAAAAAAATTACTTTGTAGGATTAAAAACTAACTAATCTCTAAAAATATTTTTTTAAGAATTAATATTCGTAGTTTGTATACAGGAATTTATTAATTTATTGTTTATTTCTCTTATTTTAAAAAATAATAATATTTATTAAAAATTAAAAAAAAACTATCGTTTCTTCTCAAATCTAACTTTCAAATGTTATATATATAATAACCAAATTAAAATATGCAATGTTGATTTATTTTTAAAATTGTTAAAAATTAATATCATTTTGATATAAGATTAACTTTACTATATTGTTGATATATATTTTTTAAATTATTAATCAATAATATATATAGAGAGAGATATTAACTTTGTCATTCTTATGAGAGTTTTAAAGACTTCTCTCTATATCAAATAATAAAATAAAATTTAAAAAAATTATCATTTTGATCAAAATATACAAGATATAAATAACTTGTGACTTCAACACATTCAAAGAAAACAATATTTAAGAAATTGAGACATACAAATAAAAATTAGTCTATAAGTAAAAGATGAATTAGTAAATTTTAAATTATCTATATAATAAAAACATTTTAGAATAATTAATCTAGAACAACTTTCTACCGATCCACATGTTAAATAATAAAAAATATTAATATATGCTTACTAAAAATATTACTTTTTAATTAACTTTATTATAAAAATTATTTATTTTACTTTAAAATAACTAATATTTTTTATTTTTATAATTTTTTTTTAGTTTTATAATTTAAAGAAAGATATAATTGATAAGGGTCAAAGAAAATGTTAATTGATGTGCTTTTGTTCAATTGTTTTGTAATTTTTGTTTTTTATTTTTTATTTTTTTGTGTTTATGACGATTTTTTTTCTCTCTTTTTTTAAGCCTAAAAACAATATTTTTTGAGAAACTGTATTTTTTTAGAGGTTTTGATAATTTTTGTTTTCTTAAAAACTTGCACTACCATAAAATCTTCAAAATTTGTACTCTCTTTGTTATTTATTGTTTTTTCATTATTTATTTATTTTTAAAATTAACCTTATTTTTCAACAACCTCTAAAGTTATAAGAGAGAGATTTTCTCACATTAGTATAAATATAAAAAAATTTATACTCAATTTGAGTCTTTTATTTAACTTACATTTAACAGTCAGTAAAGTAATAAATTATAATCCGTTAAATATAAGTTAAATGAAAAACTCAAATCAGTGTAAGAATTTTTAGACTTGTAATAATATGAAAAGATTATGTCCCATAATTATATAGTTTTATCCATCAAGCATAACCACCTTGTTTATGCTTGTAAAACCTCTCTAAAAAAACTATTCACTATCACTATTTTATTTTTTTAAAATTTAAATTTTCTTGATTTCCTTTCCCTTTTCATTATTTTGTTACTTTATATTTTTATTATTTATTATAAAAATATAAAAGAATGAGGACACGATTAAGTATTAATTGAGGAAAGTGTATTTTATCAAAATAAAAAAAAGTAACTAAAAACATTAATAACAAATTTCTTCTGTAAGTTAGTGCTTTAATGCACCTTAAGGGGAAAATGTTCATTATCACCTGTTGTAAAATATTGATATTAAAAATATATCTAATATTTTTACTTTATATTATTAAATTTTTTTATTATTTATGTTAAGTAAAAATTTAATATATATTAAAAAAACTATTAACTTATTTATTTAGTGCATAAAATTTTACTTCATATTAATTTAGTTATTAAAATAAATATAAATTATTAATTAATAATAAGAGAATAAATTAAAAATTAAAAAAAAAGTAATAAACATAAAGATAAAATCAAATCAAATAAAGTAGTAAATTAATATAATATTAGAACTTGAACTTGATATCATAAATGTTGTACAACATTCTCATCAAAAGAAGTGTATATTATATTATATCGCATCCTTCATTTAAGAAATTTTTTATTGAAAGACTTGCCTTATCTTGAGAAGTCAATTATATTGTTTCTATGACCTCTACTTTAAATGTGTTTACATTATTTTAAAGTATGTTTGGAAGGAAAATTTTAGAGAGAAAAAGAGGAAAATACATATTTTTTATTTTAAATTTAAAATATTATATATCATTTATTATAATAAATATATAATTAATATATTAATTTATATTTATATTTTAAAAAGTATTAATTTTAAATATATTTATTTAAAATTAAAATTTTATCTTTTCCTCTTCTCTTTTCCAAACATCTCCTTAAAAGCAAGAAGTTGACGTTATTGCCATGTTGAAATTGGCATGTCAAACACTTAAAATTAAACATGCAATAAAAGACAAAGAAAAACAAGCATTAGTGACGGCATGATAAGAAAAGTAAGGGACGAAGCTATCTAACAGAAGAAAAGGATAAGTTATGAAAAAGATGCATGCATCGGCGGTGAGTTATTACCAAAGAGAAGGAAAAGCTTTAGTATTACGTTTTTGTGAGTAATGGATTTGAATAGTATGTCCAATAATTTAAGTAATTTTTGTTGGGTGATCGCAAGTTAAATATAAACTTAATTAGATAAAAAAAAGTCTACAATTCAAAGTATTTTGATCTATTTTTTATCCAATGATAAATTTAAGTATAATAAAAATCAGAACTTATTATTTACTTTTAGTTGATAGTCATGAATTTAGTTAATGTCTCACCGATTGAATTAATGATCCCTTGACCTAATGGTTGAACCGAGTAGATTAGCTAGTTGAGTTCAATAACTACTGTGGTAAATAATAATGAAGGATAATAGTGACATAGAATATCAAATATAATACTGAGGCTAACAAGTGGTGTGAACTTAGGGGTTAAGAAAGTGGGGCATGTATAGATTCTACAAGTAAGAATGAGAAAGGAATTAGATGAAACGAAAATGAGCAGGGAAAAGCAAAGTATGATGGCCAAAAAGGTTGCAAAATCCCGGCATAAACAATAAATGCCAGCAAAATGGTTTCTTCAAGTGAAAACCTGCGATTACACTGCATGGCACCCCTCAAACAAGGGTTTTGCCAAAAGTGAGCCACCAGTGTTTAAATGATGACACTTATTAGTGAGAGACAAAGACACCAAGTATATGCAGTTGTAGAAGCACCGATAGTTAATAAAAAAGTTTAGTCATTCATCTAAATGTGGCCCATTTCTAAGAGAGTAAGATCCGTGAACGCGTTCAACTTTTATATTTTTAATAATTTTGTCAATTAATCTAATCTTTTAGTTATTTTATATTGTTTAAATATTTATATATTATTTACTTCTATTTTGAAAATATATTACATATTAAAAAAATTAAATAATATAAATGTCTAAATTTAACGTTAATATTGATGTATCTGATTGATGTAAATAATTTGTTTTTAATGAATCAGGGTTGACATTTCTTGAAACATTCCCTCACATTCACGTTCTCAAGGATTTCACCAAGTTCATCGAACATGTCTTATATTTTACATTTCGTCAGTGCAATTTAAATCCATTTACAATTCTTGTATCTTAATCTGTTTAGAACTTCAATTTTTTTCCACTTTAAATCCCTGCTTCTTTTTTATTTTGTGTATCTTACTTTTCTTTAGATTTATCGATTCTTGCCATTTAGTTTCTTGTCCTTCTTAATATCAAAGCATTTCGTCTTTCTTGCAAATTTATTTTCCACCACTTTTTATGTTCCTTGCATTTTACTATTTTTACGCATTTAACCGCTTTCTGTTTAATTTTTTTCAAATTCATTTAATTCTTGTAATTTATGTTTGATACACTTTAATTTCTTATGAAACTTGTACATTTCTATCAACTTACATTTTCGTGTTTTAAACCTTATCATTAACTTATGTGTAGGAATGTGGTTCAAGAATAACACATCAAGCTAATAGATATATTGTATGAAGTAGCACCAATAAAACAGTACGTTGTGCAGGTAAAAATTGTGTACCACTTTATTAAAAAAAGGAAAAATTCCTTAAGAAGATAAAACTTGCATCAAATAATGGTCAACTTGTGAGAGGTAGCAAGTAACCCACTAGAAGAGCCTTGCTGCATGTGGCATTAAACACCACGTATAGGAAGGTTCAAAATATAGCAGGAAAAATCAAACCACGCAGAAGAGATAAGGAATGACCTGATCATCACCTAAGACATCTCTATCATGCAATTAATATAATATATAGTAAAAGGAAAGGGGGCATTGTCAAGAGTAAAAGAAGAAAGAAAGGGAAAAAAAAAGAGAAGAAAGACATGCTAAATAAACATCGAAATGTTGCAATGATTGCACGTGTTTTGAGGAACAAGAAACTATCTCTTTGCACCATTTAATTCTAGTTAGTGTGAGCAAGAAGAGTAAGTTGTTCCGAAACAGAACGAGAACCTCACTAAGTTTACGAACCCTATAACTTAGTTACGAAAGAAGAGAGCATAAGTGTGGTTTTGAAATAATTGGCGACTCCACTAGGAAGTGTGTTATGCTAAACATTGACGGAGCAACAACATTCACTAGTTTTAGCAACCAAAATCATGGTCAAGTTGATGTTTGTCCTACAGTTCACAAAAACTATTCATAGTGCAAATTAAAATTTGAAACCCTACATAACTATAATGATTACTGTTGAGGTATCAATGCAATGTGGAAGACTGGATCGAATTTAATTGGAAATAAAAAGAAGGAAGAGAATAATGGAGACAAGATTTTAACGTGGG